ATGTCGACTTTAGCAAGTTTTTGTAAGATGTTTTTAGGCGTTTTTGGTAACCAAAAACCGCTTAAAACGAAAAACACAAAACGTTATTAGAAGTTGGTTGACTTATAGTTTAGGTAGCTTTTCCTCCCTCCCCCGCTAACAGTCCAGTACCAAGCTTTTTATTCGATGTTTCAGAGGTCGAAATGCTCGGGCGCTTCTGGACGTCGGCGCGTCGAAAAGGACACCCGTGCACGCGGCGTTTCGGTCTCACAACGGTACCTTCTGGCCAGTGTTTACAATCGTTTTGTTTAGAATGGCGATATCTCGTAGAGGCAACGCTTCGGACACGATCGTCCAGCGCACCCAGAGCGCCTCCGCCGAATATGGAGTCTTTCGGGTGAGCATTTATTCGCGTGCGGCTAGAGCATCGTTTTTTAGCCGCCACAAGCTCGCCGAACCGCCACCCCGATCGAGTACAATCCAAAGACCGACAACTTTGACTACCTGAAGTTCCTCGACATGCACTATGTGGATGTTGGCCCTGGAGTGGGTTTTGTTGTTTATCTATTACAGATATCATCATAAAAAATTCTTATCTTTTGATAAATGGGTTTTTGTTCGGAAATATATGAAAAAGAGGCAGGGGTTTAAGCTTTCAATGTTTTTACAAGTTTTTAATAATCGGAAACTACGGAAATTACTAAAAAGATAACTATAAAAAAGATATACTAAACCGTAAAAATAGAAGCTTTTATTGCTAGGTAACTGAGTAAAGGAAGCCCGGTTAATCAACCGGACAGTGCCATCTAATCTTGACTTCGAAGTATTTGTATTTGTAAGCGACGCTAAATTCCCCGTTTCCAGGTTAAAACGATCACCTACCGCGAAAAGGATCTCCTTCATGTCATCCGGGCTGCCACGTGGCGCTTCAAGGAGGAAAAGATGCTGATTGATGTAGCATTGCTAATATTTTATTGGTGAAACTCGATTTTTATAGACAACGGCCCCGGCTATCATCGTCGGCGACATCCATGGGCAATTCAACGATCTGGTCAGCATATTCCTGGTGATGGGACGGCCGCCTGCCAAGTATGCGCTTCTCCCCGCGTCCTAAGTGTGTGATTTTAGAAAATACGTCTTCCTCGGCGACTATGTTGATCGTGGAGCGATGGCCGTCGAATGCGCCGCGTTGCTGTTTGGCTACAAAGTTTTTCTTCTTGTTTTTCGTCCAGTTTCTTTTAGGCAAAGTACCCGGATCACATTTTCCTGTTGAAGGGCAACCACGAGAATGCGCGCACGAATCGAAAATATGGATTTCAGGTGTTTAGCTTTTCTTCTTCTTCACTTCTCTTTGTCTAATTGGGGTGTGTTGGAAGTGTTTTTAGTGGATTTCACCGCTAAAAACATCATGAAAACGCTTTTAGAAAAGTAATAAATTTGGTTTGGAAAATTTCCAGGGAGTTTTGGCCAAAAATCATTTTTTTTAGAACTTTTGTTATTGGAAACGACGTAAAAAAAGCTACATACGTGCCCTACGGGAGAATATATCAAGCCCCCCCCCGCAAACAGTCCAGTACCCTCATTTTTACAGCAAGTCTGCCACAACCGGACGGATCTCGACGGGATCAAGCTGTGGGCTGCAATGCAGGTTACTGCTTGTAATTGATGTTCACCAATTCTCTACTGCTTTAGCGAGCATTCAACTATCTGTCCGTGGCGGCCCTCGTTTCCGACAAGATCCTCTGCGTACACGGCGGCATCACCCCGCATCTCACATCGTTCGACGTTCTCCGCCAACACCCCGTAGCCATTCGCCTTGCCCAGCCGAACCAGCCCCGGGCTTTTTGTAGAAGCCGGTCCGGAATCCGTACCAGGGTCTCTGCTCGGATATGGTGTGGTCGGACCCCGACACCGCCTACGACTTTTGGCGCCCAAACTCGCGCGGATGCGGATTCTTCTTTGGGCGAAGGGTTAGTGTTTTTACCGGGTGGTTCCTTAGCAAAATCCGGGGCGAAATTTTCCCGCTTAAGTCTTGATATGATCTGCGAAACGACCAAAATCAAAAAAGTTCTGAAAAGTTGGCGATTTTGGATATTTTTCAGACTTTCAACCGCCATAACTTTTGAATTATGGTCGTTTCGCAGATTCTGAAAAGTACGTTGCGATCAGCGAAAAATTCTGCACAAAATAGCCTTGGTCCCATTTTACCCCCGTGGACCCGTTTTACCATTTTACCCCCGTGGACACTAAGAAAACGTCTCAGTGTGTAAGTAGGCACTTTAATAATGTTGTTAGTCAAATTTAACTGTGTTTCCAGTGGAATTACCTAAAAATTAAAAATAATTTGGTACTGATATCTACATTTTTCAATTTTTTGATTGAAATTGTAGGGGTGTGATGCTTTTAATTGTGTAAATAACAAGTGAGAAAACCATGCAAAAACGTTTCGTTTTTAATATTTTGAAGCATGACTCGATGTGAAGGAAAACATTTATTTTCCGAATATTGCAAAAAAACCCAGCAGACTTTCTACAAATAGTTTTCTTTTTCAGACGACCGAAGACTTTTGCGAGCGGTTTGGCATCGACATGATCGTCCGTGGCCATCAGGTATGTGTCTTTTTTCCTATGGTTCCGGAAGAATGGTTTAGGTGTGCTTGGAGGGCTACTCGACGCTGTGGGACAAGCGCGTCGTCACGATCTTCTCGGCGCCCTGTTACACCAATGATGTACGCGATTTCTTGATGTTATTTATTGTTTCATTTCCGATTTTAGTACAAGAATGCTGGTTGCGTGTTGAAGGTGGCGGCCAATCTGGAATGCGAGCTCGTCGCGCTCGTCCCCGACTATCCGGAAGCTTCGCCGGGGTCAGCGCCGTTTTGTGCTTATTTTTTCACCTTTTGATTTTGTCGAAAAACAAAATATCGAATTTTTATTTTGTCAGTATTTAACTATCTATTATTATCACTATTTATTCTTTCATCGAAGGGGGTTTTTCAACGAATCGTTCCTTTTAGCTCAGGAGTTCCTATTAACGTAATATTAGGTATTTTGAATAGGTGTTTTAGTAAATGCGGCTATATTTAAAGCGCAAAAAACACTATCTGGAAAAATTTGTAAGTAAAATTAGCTATTTAAAAATTCTACTTGTTTTGGAAAAATCGATAATTTTTCTAGTTTCCATCAAGGATTTGTAAGCTTTTATTTATGTTGTGGAATAGTAAAAGGGCGCTGGGAATACAAAACACGTATTTATATTATTATCAAAATTAGCTCCTAAGGGAAAAAAAGAGCTTGCCTTCTCGATAAGCTCCCCCCCCTATAAGGAGCAAGCAACAACTTTAAACGTTCTGATAGCGAATCAATTCACCCAATTTCAGTGCCAAGAACGTCTCGAGATTTCGAAGCGTCTCTGGGACCCATCGCTTGAAGTGTTCCCTGAAAGCGGCGAGCCACCGAAGCCCATCATCCGCTGAGAGGGCCACCACCACCACCACGCCCCCGCACGCTCAATTAACCCCGAAGAAAAGAAAGAAAAGGAAACAATTTAAAGCGTACAACCATTATCTCTGCCTCCCTCACTCTCTCTCTCACTCTCTGTCTCTCTCTGTCCACCGCACGTGCTGCTCACCCTTACATTTTTGTATCGCGTGTGTACTTTTAAAAGTTTTGACGACCATATCTCGATTTGTACTGTGGGTTATGTGCTTGTTGTCTGCCCTCTCATATGATACTCGTGTTGCTCTGTCGGAATAAAGGATGCTATTTTTATTACATGTTTCATTCTTCATTCCCTTTCTTCAGCCTTTTCGCGGCCAAAAATCGGTAAATATTTAGCACCGCGTGCTCACTACGACGGCACGGAGACTGGAAAAGGAAATAAGCATAGCACCTCGCTGGAATTGTTCGGCCACCGGAAGGCCCAAAATTAGCACAAGTTGGGAGCTAGAGGAAGAAGCGACCTGGCTATCCCATCATATTACTTAAATTGACTTCCCACTACTAAACTGAACTCTACAACCATGACATTCGTGAGTTTCCTTACCAACCTAAAAAGCCCAAGCGTGGTCCCGAAGTATCAGTATCGTATCGATAATATGCAAATTCACTACCGATACTTTACAATAATATCGGGTCGAAGCCGCCGACCTCTCCTCTGAATTCTTCCGGAAATCATTCTCAATTCTCTAATTACAGGACTACGACAGACATATGGAGAAAAAAGGGAGGGCAAAGAACACCCTCGTTCGGTGCCAGCAGGAGTACAACGAGATCGAGGCCGAAATTCAAGCAAAGGTACGCCGCCTAGACATCGCTTAGGCGTAGGGGAAAATGTTACTTTACGCTATGGTCCCAAAATGTCGATTTTTCGACTGGAATCGATCCAGCTCGATGAGTTTGTGCGTTTCCAGTTGAAAAAAACGATTGGGAAACGCTTCTGAACAAAGTTATAAGCTTTTGAAAATCGCTAGTTCACTTTACCGTATGTGAACAAAACCTCAATTTTTGAACAGGAAACGATAAAGCTCGATGAGATAAAGCGTTTTCGGTTGAAAAAATAATTGGGAGATTTAAAATAAGAAAGTTCTGACGTTTCAGAGATATTTTTGCTAAGGACTGTAGGCGACGCAACACTCCTATCCCCGCATTCTAGCGCGTGCGCTCTAAGCCAGCGCTTACGTACTTATCTAAAAGCATTTATCCCGCTATATATAAAAAAATAGTGTCTGTGTGTGTGTGTGTATATTTGCATGCAACTTCCGTAAGTATGTACCGCACCTACAGCCTCAGGGGAAGGTTTTTAAGGTACGTATGATACGTCATTAGGTGCGTAACGGTCCCGAGATGGGTGCACACATATAAAATTGAAGAAAATCGGCTGTTTTCGCTATTAAAATTAAGTTTTTGTAAATATATCGAAAAACCTCTTTGTTAGGAGGCAATTAGCATTGACTAGGGTTGGCATTTGAGGAAACCGGTTTCCGATCTCTTGGATTTGAATCAATGTTTGGATTGACCGGATTGTATTGAAATCGATTTTTCAAATGAATCCGATCGATCGAATCTGCATAAAAACCGATTTGAATAGGATCCGATTTGATCGGTTCTTGAAAAACCGGTTTTTGATTCGAAACCGATCGATCGGTTTCGGAAAAAAATCGGATTCCAGGCGAGAAACCGAGCGGAAATGAACCGATTTATGCAGAATTTTGGATGCAAATCACGATATTCCTCATTTTGTGTGCTGAAATTGGGGGTCAGCTCGTAACTTCCAGAGCCATCATGTCTGGAAGGAATATATCCATTTTTTAGAGGCTAAGAACGGCTTAGTTTCAAAAAATGGTGAGACTACTGCGGGCCAAGCACTCAAAAAATGATTTGCATCCAAAATTCGGCATAAATCGGTTCATTTCCGTTCGGTTTCTCGTCTGCAATCCGATTTTTTTCCGAAACCGATCGATCGGTTTCGAATCAAAAACCGGTTTTTGAGAACCGATCAAATCGGATCCTATTCAAATCGGTTTTTATGCAGATTCGATCGATCGGATTCATTTGAAAAATCGATTTCAATACAATCCAGTCAATCCAAACATTGATTCAAATCCAAGAGATCGGAAACCGGTTTCCTCAAATGCCAACCCTAGTCAATGCTAATTGCCTCCTAACAAAGAGGTTTTTCGATATATTTACAAAAACTTAATTTTAATAGCGAAAACAGCCGATTTTCTTCAATTTTATATGTGTGCACCCATCTCGGGACCGTTACGCACCTAATGACGTATCATACGTACCTTAAAAACCTTCCCCTGAGGCTGTAGGTGCGGTACATACTTACGGAAGTTGCATGCAAATATACACACACACACACAGACATATTTTTTTATATATAGCGGGATAAATGCTTTTAGATAAGTACGTAAGCGCTGGCTTAGAGCGCACGCGCTAGAATGCGGGGATAGGAGTGTTGCGTCGCCTACAGTCCTTAGCAAAAATATCTCTGAAACGTCAGAACTTTCTTATTTTAAATCTCCCAATTATTTTTTCAACCGAAAACGCTTTATCTCATCGAGCTTTATCGTTTCTGTTCAAATGAGGTTTTGTTCACATACGGTAAAGTGAACTAGCGATTTTCAAAAGCTTATAACTTTGTTCAGAAGCGTTTCCCAATCGTTTTTCAACTGGAACGCACAAACTCATCGAGCTGGATCGATTCCAGTCGAAAAATCGACATTTTGGGACCATAGCGTAAAGTAACATTTTCCCCTACGCCTAAGCGATGTCTAGGCGGCGTACCTTTGCTTGAATTTCGGCCTCGATCTCGTTGTACTCCTGCTGGCACCGAACGAGGGTGTTCTTTGCCCTCCCTTTTTTTTATTCTTATTAATAGTAACACGTAGGCATGGCTGGAAAAACAAAAAAGGGGTCCCCCCCCTACAGTCCAGCCCTGCCGCGAAAACGCACCTGGAACTCGTAGTTATTCCGCGCCTCGGCAAGCGCCTTCGCCGCTGCATCGCGTTTGAGCTTCATTTCTGGGAGCGCCGCGTAATAGTTCTATAGCGGTTTTAGTAGTTTCTGATTGCTAGAAAGTCATAAAAAATAAATTTTGAAAATTTTGACTTTTCTGGCCATTTTTCATACCTTTATGACAAAAAGTTCCAAAATATGAACGTAAAACTATGTGAAACATGGTTAATATTTCATTATAAACATGTACGGAAATACTGCCAAAATTTGGTTCCTGCCAGCACCGTTTTTCGTCCTTTTCCGGTGATGGTGTCGTGCCTAGAACTTCGAAAACTTCGTCGAAAATTTAATTTTGGGTCTAAAAATCGATATTTTCTAGTTTTTAAAAAAAATTCTTTTGTTGAGTGTTTTTCCTAATATAATTTGTAACGTTTTTTACGTTTTGGATTGGCAAAAACCGGTTTATAACCTTCTCTACTTATATTAGAAAAGTCGACTTCGGCTCCTACAAAATAGTCATGGATTGAAGTAGCAAAAAAACCTGGTTAAGGCCGATGACGTCCATTTCCTTGAAGGACTCTTCGATGCTTCCGCCACCATCGATGAACACCCTTCCGCTCTAAAAAGAGAAGCACACTCTTGGAATCATCGTAACTGATAGGCTTCTTAACAACCCGACCCTTGAACAGCGTTACCTTAAGGCGTCCCGTGCTATGTTTTCCCTTCTCAGAAATTCAGAAATTTAAAAATCCGTGATCCCACATTGCTCGTCAAGTGTTTTAAGGCCTATGTCCTTCCAATAGTCGAGTTCGCCTCCCCCATTTGGTCACCGCGGACTAAGCTCTGGTGCGACAAATTGGAAAAAATTCAGAAGACCTTCACACGAATAGTGTTCCAGCGCTGCAACCTCCCGCCCCAATCATATCCTGTTAGATTGGAGTACCTGAAACTTCATACTCTCCATCACAGACGCATAACTAATGACCTCGCCCAGGGCTTCAAAATCCTTCATGGCCTTTGCCACGTCCCCCGTTCCTCTATTTTCACCTACAAATTGGGTTTTGGTAGAAACAAGAGGCTGCTCTTCCAAGTTCCTAAAGCTAGAACCGAGGCCCGCAGATGCGCCTTCTCGTCCCGCATAACCCGGTGGTTCAACCTGCTCCCTCCTCGCATCCTGGCACAGCGTAGCCCCAATTCCTTCCGGCAGAGTTTACGCAAGCTTGATCTTCTTCAAATTCTTAAAATTGATCCCCGTAACCTAGGTCCCGTCCAGCCATAATACCATCTCCTCCTACTTCACCTCTAATCTAACGCCGCCCCGCCGGCCTCTTGTTTTAGAATGAAACCTACACACAGCCTCATCCTCGACGGATCTTGATCAATATACTCTTGCAAGCAACGCCTCCATCTCGACCTTCCCAGTACGTCAGCCCGTCACCACCTACACCAAGGGCAGAATTTCCCTCTCAATTCCCGTACTGTT